TCCTTCCTTTCCTTTCCTTTCCCTTCCTTCCTTCTCTCTCTCTCTCTCTCTCTTTCTTTTCGTAGTTAGTTCAAGGACTGTTTGTTGGCCTTTAGGAGTGTTTTCTAGTCCAGTCCAGTTGGGGCACCAAGCCCTGGTCCCAAAGTCCACCTTCAGCATTCCCTGGGGACCTCATGGCTCTGTTCCCTTGCTGTTCTGTTGCACCCCTTTAGTGTTTTGCCTCGGTGTGGCGGGATCAGATTGGGTGCAATTCCCACACTGTGTCTCCGGTGCTGTCCCCTATAGGGCTATGGGTCAGTGAGGGGCGTCATGTCACATAGTGGGGCCGGCCACGTGGTCCTCTCTGTGGACTTGCTGCTCTAAATGGGAACATCGTCCTCAAGGCCTGGTGGGCCAGGATGTGCTCCACTCTCTCCTACCCCTTCATCTACTCCCGTGTGCTCCAATCAGATAAGTCCCTCTCTGGGAGTGCAGATTCACTGCTGTCCTCTGATATAAATTCTTCTGGGGGGAGGGGCAGGTGTTCACGGAGTTGGGATGGGGGCCAACCCCTCAGAACTCTCCACTGGTTCCCTAGTCCATGCCGGCACGTTGCATTCACATCTTGGAGCACTGGGTGGAAGTCTGGTAAAGGCCCTTTCTAGACCAAGGCATTCTGCTGTTGAACTACTCTAGATTGAACTGCTGATTTGATACACTTCCAAATGCATGTGACTTTTCATAGAAGATGTTGCATGCGCTCCTCTGGTTTGTGTCTTATTTTCAAGCGTTTTATCCTTTCTTGACATTGATTTTAAAAGATGACACATCTGTGCCCAGCCTCATTGTCAGAAAGATGGCAATCTATCGAATTCATTTAAATGTAATAGTCAAGCCTGTTTATCTAAGCACATCTTCTAAGGTCTGAATGGTTTTAAATGCTTAAACCTTGAAGAAGTAGACAATGGAAGATTTTTAGACTGATCCTTACAACACTGCATTACCTGTCTTTCTCTGTTGTTAATTTAAGATCCCTAAATTAATAGTCTCTTAAAGAGACTAGTATAACTATAAGAAATTAATGTTTATTGCGTTTATATAAAACACACCATTTTAATCTCTTGACAAAGGTTTTCTGTGACCAAAATCTAACACTAGACACGTTAACCAATTTACAAGGTGAACTGTTTTTGTTTCCCTCATTTTTTGTCCTTTTGTTTTGTTTTTGCACCCATGCCTACTTTATTATGCAAAAGCTTTGTATCAATTTACTTTTTGAGCTATTTAAGACCAAGCCAAATTATTCCTTCAGTACATCTTAAACAATCCCTTAAAGACCTCTTTTTCTTGGCTATGTTTTCAATCTTGGCTTATCACTATAATATTTCATGCTCTGTGCTTCTGAAAAAATTCAATATTCAAGAACAAAGTAATCCAGAGCTTTACTTCATTTCAGTCTTTTTGTGTCCTACGGCTGTCCCCACTCAATGACCCAGTTTTTATTGTGTCACATCTCACTGTTGCTGACTGTGACCAGCTTGCCTAATCCTTTTCCTGTCCCTTATCAGTTTTCTCTGAATTCAGAAAAAAATTTTCTTTTTCTTATTCTTTCCACTTCTCCCTTCACAGCTTTTAGATTCCCACTGAGCCCCGCCCACCCCCGCCCCCAGCTCCCCTCAGGAGACTCCATGCTCCTGTGGCAGCTACTCAGAGACACAAAGACAAATGGGCAGCGAAGGTCTGTCATCAATATTCTCTTTATACCATCTTTAGAAATGGTGGGCGGTGAGTGGCAGGAAGGAGCTAAACAATTTGGCACTATGTATCAAAGGGCCTTATAATAGTTATAGCCTATGAACCAGAGACTGTACTTCTGAAAACCCAGCTAATCAATGGAAAGAAGATATGGAAAAGGCTGTGTGCATGAGATGTTCTTTGCAATGTTGCATATAAAAGCAAGAGAAGAGAACAACACAAACATCCAACAGTGATCCATCTCATTGATAGAATATTTTACAACCATTAACACTCACTGCCTTTTAGTCGATTCCATGTCGTATCGCACCGAGAGGGCAGGAGACAATGCCCCGTTAGGTTTCTAAGGCTGCAAAGCTTAGCTTTCGGAGCTGCTGGTGGGTTGGAATTGCTGACATGCTGGTTAGTAGCCCAATGCATAAGCCGCCATGCTGCCAGGGCTCCTTACACTCATGCGTGATGACGGTTATGTAGATATCTGGGATATGGGCAAATATCGGCAATATTCTCAGTAAAGTGGGCTGTAAAATTATAAGTGCCTATGATCAGAACTATGATTTGTTGGGTCTTTAAGAAGCATTTACCATGGGAAAGCTACAAGAAAGCTTGCCTTTTGCTGCTGAATCACATTGTTTTGGGGGTAGTGGAGTTCTACTATTTATCTCCTTTACGCTTCACATTTTGCGGTGATTCTCATTTAAGATCAATTTTGAATATAAACCGTTGTAAATAATCACTTAAGTAAGCTGTGTCAAATGACTAGAAGACTGTTTCAGATGGCATTCTAGTTACATGTAACGAGGGGCCAGTGAGATGGTGAGTCCACCCTTTCATTCACCATCACATATCATCCCCAAAAGGATGAGGAAAGAAAAAAAGATATATACCCTGTCTGTAATTACATTAAAATTACTGGCCCCTTTATCCTCTCCTAAGTTGGGAGTCGCTCGACCTTTAGTTGAACGCTTTCCATCCATTTTCTGCAGCCGGGGAGATCTTTCTAGAACCTACCCCTGTCCCTGAGAGCCCGCTGTGTAAACCATTTGGAGATGCAGCATAATATTGCAATCTTTGGCTGAGCTTGCTAGTTCCTCCCAGGCTTCTTTCTCTTGCCCTGCACCTTTTGGCTCACACGCCGCCCTGCCAACGATTTGCAAGCTCTAAAACGGCACTCAGTCACTGTCTCTTAACCCTGAACCCGCTCGTTCTTCAAATCTCAAGTGTCACTTTCTTGGGGAGGCTTTCCAGATGCACCTCATTTAGATGTCTTTTCCGTTATCCTGCAGCACCCCCACTTAGTACACTGGCCTCTCATTGAGTTGCTTTATCAGCCTTTCCCACGAAACTGCTTGTTTCCGTGTGTAGACAAGGGTGAGCGTGTAAGCATTTAACACTCCAGCCATCCCTCCCCCATGTTCAGACAGAGTGAGGCACGGGGAATGCTGAGTGAAGGTGATGAAGGGCCACGTGCTAATGTGCTAATCCTGGACACTAAGCCCAGGAGCTGCCTGAACTCCCAATGTGCTGACGTGCCAATGTCTTCTCTACTTCAATTTTCACACACACCGGAAACCAGCCAACACCAATAGAAAGCATTGGTTTGGCCCGAAACAAAGATCATGGTTTTCTTCAAAGAAAGCAGAGAAACAATTCGATTGGGTTTTTGACTGATTCATTTGTTTCTTTTTTTCCTACCCTTATTACCTGAGAGGGCTTCAAAAAGTTTCATGGAAAAATGGAATTAAAAGGTAATGGGAACATTTCCACAAACTTTTTGAAGGCCCTTACATTTGCATTTTAAACAATATATTCATGACTGTAAAATTAACTGAAAATGATAATAAAGCCCTGTCCCCAAATTTTGTCTTAAAATTTTTTTAAACAGTGATTATAATTCTAACATTTTAGTTATTAATTTCCTATTCTAATATTAGGAGTTTAAGTGCAATAGATGCCCTATTTAAAATAAAAATCTGGGATCAATCTTGAAATAGAAAAGCATTTCTCAGTTATTTCCTTCTCAATTCTTTAGGCTTCTCTTTGTTTTCTTATGCAGTCACTTATCTACTCGTGCCTGGAAGCACAAACACATGTAAGTTTTAGAGAACTGTTCAGACAGAACAGTTGAATTTCAAATTATTGGAGTATACCTTACCTAGTAACAATTTTGGTTTGGGGGTTTGTTTGTTTTTTATGAGCTCTCACAACAGGAAACAGGCTCATCATTGGAGTAGTACATTGGAGGAGAATTGTCGGTATAACTTTGTAGATGATTTTTAAATCAGCAATACACAATTTGGTCTATAAAGTGAAGCACTGCATTATGGGTTGTGCTCCTCCTACAAAACACACTTTGGAGCTCCACACCTGTACCTGTGGACGGAACAATATTTGGAACCTCGGGCTTCTTTGCTATGTTAATCAGGCCATCAGGAGTAGAGTGGTTTCTAAGCCTAATTACTTCTGCCTTACAGAAAGGACAGATGAGTCACACAGACTTGAAGAGGAAGACAAACAAGGGAGACAAATGCCTTTACCTGCTGTCGGCAACTCCCAGAAGCCAATATAGACCACAGAACCGCACCCTGGATTTCAACTCCCAGCCTCCCGAATTGTGAGTGAATAGATTTTTATTTATTAAACTCACCCACTTGTGCTATTTCTGCTACTGCCACATTAGGTAACTAAGAGACAATGTAAAAATGAACAAGGCAAAATGTGGAAATCCTAAACTGAGCTAGATGTGCATAAAGGGAAACTTGTAAAGAATGGTTTTTGATGTGGTTACAATTGGCTTTCAGGGAAGAAACGTGTTCCTCTTAAAGGTATGATTCCTTGTAGGGAAGAAAAAAAACCTGTGATGAAAATAATATCCCTTAAATCAATCCACCAACCGTTCATACCCAAGCAGTTTGTCATAGCTCAATTTCCTTAGTCAGGTATCCCATATTTGCAGAACAGCCAATTTAGGATCATGAAGATAGTTCCGTGGGTGGTCATAGCTCTCACTATACAAACCATAGGCATCTGGTTTCAAATCAAACCTCCTGTGAATTTATCTGGTATGAAGCAGTTCTTCAGTGAATTATGATCTACTGAATGAGATCTCAAAGATTAATGTGCTTAGTGCATTGCCTGCAACATAGAAAGCTCTTGAACGCTGGATTTTTTTTATCCTCTTGTATGCTAATAAAAAATATGTAATAAAAAATAACCCATAACCCCAAAGAAGCACCCAAGACAGAAAAATGAAACACTGTTCATACTTGAACATAAATATTTATAATTTATTGTAAAAAAATTAATTTGCGTACCACTGCCATAAATACTGAACATGGTTTTATGGAAATGACAATTTCATGATAAAAATCATTCAAAGTACCATGATAACCCACATGTTTTCCCTTTTAACCTCAGTCTGAGTTATGACTTAAGTTAGACTCTAACCTTAGCAGCCATGATTGTTTGATCTTTTAAAATATAGCTAAGTACACAAGAACAATGGCTAGCAGGTGCTGCAAGAATCACAGTCAGGTGCACAGGCCAAAGGGTGGGTAAAACAACAACAACTCCTTGCTGGCTTGTCTTGTTGGTTCTGACTCAGGGCGGCCCCAGGCATGTCAGGGCAGAGTCGGCTCCACCGGGTTTCCAAGGCTGGTGTCTCAGGAATAAATCATCAAGCTTTTCTTCAGAGACATCTCCACACTGATGGTTAGCACAGCTGCTAATCGTTTGCCCCATCCAGGGACTCCACGACATGGACACCAGGGATGTTTGAAAGAAAGGCACACAGTTCTATTTACCACCCCTCATCGGAAGTATGATAATAAAACTGGTGTACACGGACCACCAAGAGACACAGTTCTACACACAGGGAAAATTCACCAACAGCAAAAGAAGCGACATCGAGTGAACATCGCTGGGTGTGAGGCTTTCATGTCCTGTGACGACCAAGTCCAATCATCCCCCAACCTTGGCATTTCGGTGTACTTGCGTTGCCTTTTTTCTTCTCATTGCTGGATCTCTGAGGATTTCCTCTTTCATTCTTCTAGAAGAATCTTTCAGGTTAATCACTCAAGAACTCTCAGTCAAATCTCTTCGATACAGGACCTCATCCTCATGTCCCCTCTGTTTGAAGAGAGCTGGTCAAAGTCTTGGAGGTGGAAACGGGTTGCCAGTTGATTTACCATTCTCTTCAAGGCAAGAAACGCTGCAACGACTTGGAAAGTCAGGAAGAGGGTGTAGATCATGTGGATTGCCTTTTCCATCGGCAAACTCTTCAAGCCACCATTAAAGAGCAAGAAAAGAATTAAAGGCAACTGTAACAGAAGGCTCAAAAGCCAAAAGCCAGCCAACTCGGGAACCTGCAAGGACACACGAGGAAGAGTGATCAAGAAGGTCAATAGAGCACAGTCTGTCATTCACACAGGTTAGCAAGAACTTGGCACTGCTATCATCCCACGCTGGGCCAGGAGCTGTGGCATTTCACAAGTACCAAGGGATGGTTCCTAACTCAGAACCCACAGTCCAGATGGGAAGACGAAACTAATTTATATGACACAACCCTCAAATACTGCATCCAGTTTAGAGAATAGCTAAAGCAACCTTTGGCTATAAAGGCTAAATGCTACCAGAAAGAAGATGAGAGAGCAACTAGGGCAGGTGCCAGAGAGATTTCAAGGATAACGGCCTTTAAAGTTGGGTAAGCTGAAGAAGAGGCAAAAAGGGAAGCAAGCAAAGATAAGGAACCAACACCCAGCCTGGAATGACTGCTTGGGCTAGGAAACAGCAGGGATAGAGCGGAACAGGCCCAGTGGGTCCTCATTCGAAGGGCCTTGAAAAGCCATTGCAATCTCCAGGCATTATCCCTGAGCTCTGAAAAGAGCCAATGTTTAGGGAACCTAACTGATGAGGAAAATCATCTTTGTGTGTGGCCCAGAAAATTAGCTTAGAATTTCCTCATCAGGAAACAAACTCATTGACAAAGTGTTTTCAGGAACAAGAAGGCACACAGGAAGAACTGTCAGCTCTTCAGTGCTTCTGCGTTCTGGTACTTTATATGTAAATCATTTCATTTAATCTCAGCACACCTGTGAGCTCCCATTGTATACTTTTCCCATTGTATACTCAGATTAGGAGGAAGCATGGTAAGAATTGCAGGCAACTGTAGGAGAGGGCCCTATGGAAACTAAGCACAGGGATCGCCGCGGCCCACGCAGAAGCACTGCAGCCAGTCCAATGTGAACGGCAGTCACCTGCTCCTCGGCCACATTTAGCTGCCCTTTCCTTGTAAAACTCCCCTGGCCCGTGTGTGCCACACCGACAGAAAGGAGAGAAGAGCCTACCTTCTCCTGCAGGTTACCCATGTAGCCCAGATACAGCCGGATGACCTCCACCAAGGTGACTAGGATGATAATCGTGACCACAATAAACTTGTAGTAATCGGGCAAGAATGAATACTAAAAAACAAAAATAGACACGTGTGGTTAACATTGTCACATACAGCAAAACGGACCTGTTATAGATGAAAACAATCCTGCTAGTGTCGCGCTGCCAGTGATGGAACGCGACCTCAGCGTCGGAAGAGGCTGCACGGACTTACCTTCATGTAAAGCATCATGATGCTGCTCACCCACCAAAAGGGGAAAAAGTACGTGTTAAAATAAAGGGACACCTGCAGCACCAGACTGGAGACCATCTCGTCATCTGTGGGAGAGAGAGAGAGAGAAAAGGAACAAATTGGAAATGCTGGTTGGTGCACAATAAAGCCTGCCCTTCCTTAGCGGGAAGTATAGGATTGGCCCAGCAACGCTCCAAATGTGAGCCCTACTTGCTCTAAGTCACCGACAGTGAATGGGCTCTGGCTGCTTTATCATTTTGCCGTGGCAGTGTGCTGGCACTTCTACGCACTCCTGGTAGAGACTAAATGTGCAGTACCAGACCGAGTCTTCTTGGACAGATAGCAATCGTTGCCATCACCTCCTTTGTAGAGGTCTATGTCAACGGCCTCTACAATGAACACATAGAGACATAAAAACTAGTCTCTTACATATAAACTAATCTCATACAAAATGAATCTGCCCCCAAATTATAATTAGGCACATTCCCCTTAGCATCATACTCTAATCCAGTGGTTTTCAACCTTCCTAATGCTGTGACCCTTTAATATAGTCCCTCATGTTGTGGTGAGCCCCCAACCATAAAAGTATTTTCATTGTTACTTCCTAACTGTAATTTTGCTACTGTTATGAATCAGGTAACCCCTGTGAAAGGGTCATTCAACCCCCAAAGGGGTCAAGACCTACAGGTTGAGAACTGCTGCTCTAAGCCCACTCATTTTCTAATGGCTAATTCAAGGCCCCCTTTCTCATCAATCCTCCTTGATTACGTTCCCCACGCCAGCTCTTTGTTCTCTGAGCAGTTAGCACTCTAAACTGTGCATGGAAAGAGTTGTTAAAGACACACATTCTGAGTTCCAGACTCAGCTCAGCACTGAGGAGACCACGAGGCTGGCAGCTCACTCTGTCTCCAATGCCATACTTGGGATGCCGTGGCTAATCTCCTTGAGCCTCAATTTCTTCATCTGGATAATGGTAACACAAAAATGGCCCCACAGGCTGCTTGGGAGCATTAACTAAATTTTTTTAAAAAAACCAAAAATACCTTCACTGCCATCGAGAGGATTCCGGCTCAACTGCCACCCGTGAGTTTCCGAGGCTGTATATCTTTATGGCAGCAGACATCCTCATTTCTCTTCTGCTGAGCAGCTGGTGGTTTCAAACTGCTGACCTTGTGGTTAGCAGCCCAATACATAACCCACTATGCCAGCAGGACTCTTTATGAGGATTAGAGATCATACAAAACACTACACCCTAGTCTTGTGCCTGGCACTTAGTGGGCACTCAATACATATTAGTAACCTTTCCTTCTGCTCATGCACAGGATCGTGGTTGAGCACTGGCTACATTGAACTCTGAATTGGGGGCTTCTCAGAACTTGACATTGTGCTTTATGACAGTAAATACCAGGTATGCTTAAGTGAACGTGTGGTGGAATGCAATGTCTTAATATGGCTCTTCTATCCAGTCTGTATAACGCCCACCAACGGACTGGGTGGGCCTAGGCAAACAGGGCATGTGTAACACTAATAGAGAGAGTAGCCGATTTTTGTTACCTCCCCACTGGTTATCAGGATGGGCCCTTTGAAGAGAAGGGAGGAACCCCGAGGACTGTGGAAGAACATGTTCAACATCTCTGTCTGAAGGGGCGGAGACCACCGAGACCAGAGGCAGCACAGGCTGTGACCCAGAGCCTCAGAGGAACAGGGCTGAGATGATGGGGTACCTTCTCCTCCTTTGGCTATAGACTATGGAACCATGGAACCGAGTGACAGGCAGGCTGGCTTCCTGGCCCATGGAGGCAAAGGCAGGCCATGGGACCATGTGGCTGAGAGGCTGAGAACCGGAGAGAGACTTGGTTACCACGTGGCTGAGAAGCAGAGAGACAAGGCTGCTGATCCCGACTTGGGGTAACTTAATGGTTCCCCTAAAAAATTCCCTTCATTGCGAGTACTGAGTTCTGGGTGGCCATTGCAACAAATTATCAAATTCAGTATCGATGCAGAGTGATGTGGGGGGAACAGTGGGTGTCAGAATAGGTAACTAGGGATGGGGCATGTGTGGGCCATGTCTAATTCTTGCCTGATTCCTGGTAACAGGGAAGCCAGTGAAGGTCAGATATGTCCACGTCCATTGCCGGTTACCGTGGAAAGACTGACCAGAAACAGACTGTTACAGGGACATTACCAGTGCAGCTATTCATGACGCATGGATTTCCTTTATCTGAGCGTGAGTCATGTTTAGGTGCTGACTCATAGGGGCCTCGTGTACAACGGAAGGATGCACTGCCCGCTCCTGCGCCAAGCTCAATTGTGGTGATGTCTGAGCCCAAAGCCTGTTACTCAGTAGCTTTTGCTCTTATGGAAGGGAGAATAGCCCTAAATTAAAATTTTTATTTTAAAGCTTCAACAACTGACTAAATTCTAACAACTTAGGAGCAGATACATATTTTGAGATAAACTGTCCTAAAAATATGAGGAAAAATTACAAGCCTTGATGGAAAGATGATTTTCCCCTTTTTCTCTATAATCACTTTGACCTGCCATTTAATGCTTTAAATTAAGCTATCAGAAAGAACCATAGTCTCTCAGGACAAGAAGGGTTCTTCAAAAGTAAAAATTGGATTGTGGTACAATGTATAAAACAAAAACTGACGAACGTTTCATGATGCAGGCAAAGCAGAGGTAATCCTAATTTCGGTGCCTATAAATGACGTTTTACGGATGCCCATGCAGTTATTGTCTATTGCTGTCCCAGAAGCAAACCAGGTGCCCTGCAAAGCATCCAAGGTTTCTTCCCTGGCCTCTTCTAGAAAAGTATGCTGCCGTCTCACGTCTATCACGACCTCGTATCATCCTATTTTACTATCTGTTAAACCTCAGCTTTAACATCAGAAATGTGAAAACCTAATTTTTCACATTATGGGTTTTTGGTGGGTTGTTTTGCTACCTCCGAAATCATAAACCGAAAGCCATCTAGTTGATTCCGACTTCCAGAAGCCCTGTAGGGCGTAGGAGAACTGCTGTCAGGTTTCTGAGACTAACTTTCCAGAGCAGCTGGCGGGGCTGGACCACCTACGTTGGACTTAGCAGCTCCTTGCTTACTTAGCACACTGTGCCGCCTGGGCTCAATCGTGAATCACATCTGGGGAACGGGCGTGATCAAGGTGACAAAGTACCACCCTGGGGACTGCTTTTCTGGGCCTCCTTTAACAAGACAAAGAAATTCCCTAAAATCAGAGGAAAAGATTTCTATTTCCCAGCGGGCTTGGGTGATGAACCGGCAAGGGGCATCAAGGCTTGGGGGAGACCGCGTTATTGTTGGTCCTTCGGCTGCTAGCTGGTCATCGTGCTAGCTCGTGACCAGACGCAGTGAGACCAGCTGGCAGGGCAGGGGCGAGTCTTGTTTGGTGACGGCTGCGCCACTCGCGTGGACAGTGGTTTATGTCTCCTTAAAACGACATCGTTTTCCTCGTTTCTGCTGGGAAGGGGGCTTGTAGGGAGGCGAGAAAAGAAAAAAGGCCAAGGCGAGGAAGGGGGTGCACTGGTGGCGGCGCTACTTGATTCCCCAGATGCTGTCCCCAAATGCCAGGGCCGATCAAAGCCAAGCCAAGCCAAGCCAAGTCGGCCTTCTCGGAGGCGCGGAGCGCTAGGGAGACGCCAGCCCAGCCGCTCCTGGGTTTCGCCCTGGCCTCCTCGCGGGCTGCCCTTGGAACACACAAGGTCAAAGGCGGCCGCCGCCCCTTCCAGGCCGCACCGCGGGACAGACCGGCGGGCCGA